TTAGGAGTGAAGCACACAAAGCTGAGAGCAGGTCTTGACCCTCAGAGCTAAACATACTTGTCTCCATACTCTGTTCCTTCTCCTGGGAAGCTCCAAGGATATATTTGCTGGCAGACAAGATTAATTAGATTTGAAAAGTGCTCAGACTCTCACAGTAGAAAATTTACAAACGGGTCCAGGGGTGCTCTGGCTGCTGACAGTGCCACAAATGCCTGGCTTGGCCACAGACAGGATGCAAAGTGTAAAAAAACCCATGGAATAAGCTGCTCCCTGTTGTAACAACCCCTGTAGTTCCTGCCTCCTCCTCCTCCTCCTGCAGGTTGAACATGGATGGGCTGATCTGGGCTCTGGGGATGAAGTTCGCTGTCGATGAGATCAACAATTCCACCTCCCTCCTGCCAGGGGTGACACTGGGCTATGACATCTATGACAGCTGCTTTGAGCCCCTGGTGGCCCTGCAGGCCAGCCTGATGTTCCTGACCCGGAATGACACCGCAGGCACTGGAATTCTGTGCGACTCCACCGACTGCCAGCCCCGCGTGACCGCCGTGATCGGGCCCCACAAGTCGGATCTCTCTCTGGTGACAGCCAAACTGTTCAGCACCTTCTTCATCCCACAGGTAAAGAACCTCTCTGGAGAAGCAGGAATCCTTCTTTCTGGTGGGGAAGGGTTTGGATCGACAGCGTTGTCCATGCTCTGGGAACACGGATTGTTAAAGTGCAGTTCCTGTCTTTGCCACAGGTTTCCTGGGTGATCTTGGGTAGGTCAGTCAAATTCCCTCCTGGAGACACTACAGTGTTTAACCACCCAGAGAGAACAGGGAGAACTCAGACCACTGTGATCCATGTGAAATGGGAATAACAGAGCTCCCAGTGTAAACTGGGAGGATCTCATGAACATACTGACTAAAATACTTGACTACACATGAGAAAACGTGACTAAATACTCAGTTACCACAACAGAGGGTTGGGGAAATTTAGCCCTGAGCTAAGATATAATTGAATTTTGGGGGTGTCACCCTGTGTAGAAAGCAGCTAATTATCACTGTCATTAATGATAAGTGGAAGGAGACAGTAAATGCAGCCAAGATGGATGAGTTCTTCCCACTATCCTGACCAGCATTTTTGAAACCTTAGGGCACTAACACTAAGAAAAGAAGGTGGAGAATGACCTGGACACCCCTCTTTGCCTCCCCCTGTCCCTCCCACCCTGCAGGTGAGCTATGCAGCCAGCAGTGAGAAGCTCAGCAACGCCGAGCTGTTCCCGTCCTTCTACCGCACTCTCCCCGGAGACAAGAACGTGGTGGAAGCTGTGGTCCAGCTCCTCAACAGGTTTGGGTGGAACTGGATTGGCACCATTGCAAGCGATGATGAGTATGGCCAAGGAGCCCAGGAACTCTTCTTAACCACAGCTGGAAATAACAACATCTGCATTGCCTTCGAGGGCATAATTCCTACAGACGTGACTGAGCCCAGTGACAAAAAACAACTGGAAGAGGCCATTAACTTAATTAATAGGACCAAAGTCAACATCATTGTCCTTTTTGCCTATACTCTGTCAGCCCAGGCCCTGCTGGAACAAGCCGTCAAGATGGGACTGAGCAAGAGAGTCTGGATTGGCAGCCAGGCCTGGATGCTGTCTGACTTACCTACCTCCATCCCAAATATTCAGAGCATTGGGACAGTCTTAGGCTTTGTGACAAAAACAGGCACAGTCCCTGGCTTCCAGAAGTATGTTGCTGACCTCTTTACCTCTGTTCAGCAGGACGAATTTTGCCAGCAGTCCAGAGAACTCAACCAGCTCATGAGCACCAACGTGCTGGACCTGCAGTGCCAGGAGTGTGACAACATCTCCCTGGGGGACCTCTCCTTCCTGCTGAGCATCACCCAGGTGCAGCCTGTGCACATGGCTGTGTACAGCGTGGCCTATGCTCTGCACAGAGCCCTGGGGTGCACCTCCAAAGCCTGTCCCAAAACACCCATCAGATCCTGGCAGGTGAGTAAAGGCCGGGGGGGACAAACAGCCACTTTTCATTATAACCCCAATTTCCGTTCTCTCCTCAGCTGCTGTACTACATGGACGCTCTCCCGTTCGAGGTGAACGGCCAAAGCTACAGGTTTGATCAGTCCCACAGCACAAACACTGGCTACAAGCTCATATTGTGGTCCTGGAAGAATGGCATCCTTAGGTACCTGTCTGTAGGTGACTATAAAGAGTCCCTGCACATCGAGGAGTCCCAGATCCAGTTTCACACTCCAGATCAAAAGGTAAAGATGGCCCAGCCAATTCCTTCTGACTTCTTTGGTGATACAATTCTCCTGGAAGTGCCTGGCTGATGTTCACTCCTCCCTTTGCCAGGCGCCCACATCAGAGTGCTTCAGGCACTGCAAACCAGGACAAGTCAGAAGGGTAAAAGGATTCAACCTCTGCTGCTATGACTGCACGGACTGTCAAGAAAATACCTTCTGGAACAGTGAAGGTGAGGTCTGAGAAATCTGAAGGCTTTAACTGCATTATGTCTATCTGCTGGTTGAGGTAACAACCAGTGGTGAGCTCTTCCTCCATGAAGCACTGCCAGTGCAGGGGATTTGCCTCCCTGCTCTGCTGTGCTTTGCTCAGTCTTGCCCTAGAAATCTTCCCTGGGGACCTGCCTCTGCTGAGCCCAGAGGGATTGCACGAGGACAACGTGTATGTATTTTACCTCAAGAGGTAGGAGAGAGGGCTGTGATGAAATTCTGGGGTCACAGGTGGGAGAGAAAGGCATATGATGAAATTCTGGGATCTTTTGGAAGCTTTCTGGGGAAGGGAAACAAGAGCTAAGAAAAGCAAGTCCTTTGGGGAGAAGGGTGGGGAAAAAAAAAAACAGAGTGAACTGTCACAAGCTTTGGAGTTCCAAGACACTTTGGAGGCAGGGACATCCTAACCCACATCTGTGATCCATCCTCAAGGGCTGGGTGGTCATCATGCCCTCACTGCTCCTTCCCAGACGACTCCAAGTGCATCCCCTGCCTGCAGCAGCAGTGGGCCCCTGCCCAGAGCACCCAGTGCTACCAGCGCAGCGAGAGGTTCCTCTTCTGGGACGAGCCCCTCACCATCGCCCTGCTGGTCCTGATGTCCATCACCATCCTCCTGACCTGCCTGACAGCTCTGCTCCTCCTGAGGAACCTGCAGACCCCCCTGGTGCAGGCTGCTGGGGCCGAGAGGAGCCTCTTTGCCCTGCTGTGCCTGGCACTGCTGAGCCTCAGCTGCTGCCTCTACGTGGGGAAGCCCAGTGACACCCACTGTGCCATGCAGGAGGTGGTCCACGCCCTGTGCCTCAACGGCTGCTTCTCCACCTTCCTCATCAAGACCCTGGAGATCACCCTGGTGACAGAGTTCCCCAGCTATGCCCCCTCCCTGCTGCGCTGGGTAACCCACAGGAGGTCCTGGCTCCTCATTGCCTTGTGCCTGCTCGTCCAGGGCTTGCTCTGCCTCTGCCACCTCTACCTGGGCCCTGCCTACCTGGGCCCTGACTACAAATCCCTGCCCAAAGAGGTGCTGCTGGTGTGCAGCACCAAGTCCTGGGCGGCCTTTGCCCTCCTGCACAGCCTCAACGGCTGCCTGGCCCTCGTGTGCTTCCTGGGCACCTTCATGGTGCAAACGCCGGGCAAGAAGTACAACCTTGCCAGGGGCATCACCTTTGCCATCCTCATCTACTTCATCGTCTGGATCTTCTTTGTGGCCATCTTTGCCACGCTGGGGACAGTCCTCAGGCCTGTCACTCAGATTGCCACCATCCTGATCATCAGCCTGGGCATCCTGGTGACCAACTACGCCCCCAAATGCTACATCATCTTGTTCAAGCCCGAGATGAACACGGTGGATTGTTTCCAGAATTCCATCCAAGAGGAGCCAGAGGAGGACTCAGCAAACAATAAACCAGACCCATTGTCACCTGCTCCTCAGTAAAAGCTGGCTGTATTTTAATGAGATAATTCTGTTTATGAGCACTCTCTGGCCCCGGGCACAACCACCAGCTGTGAAAGCACAGGGCTCTGCTCAACCAGCTAAAGCCAAATGCTCCAGAGGAGCAGATCCATCCTCTCTGGAATGGCCTGTTCCATCCCCCACAAACAGCCAAAAGCAGGTTCAGTTAATCAACCAATCTTCAGTAGTGATATTTTATATGAATTTCTCTCTCAGCTCTGGCAATGTGAGCAGGAAGCCTCACCCAGAACACTTCCCTGTAAACACTGCTGGTGATTTCCCCTTCTAATTAACTAAATAACTGCTCCAGAGGTAAAGCCATGAATCCTTTCCCAAGCCTTAGAAGAATTTTCAAATATATCCAACACCAGAGGAATAAAAAGAACATTCTGATAAGTAACAGCAGCTGTGTGTACGATATAAAGAGCATTACCCATTCAAATTGCAGCTCACTCATTTGTGTTTCGTTCACATGTGTTTGCAAAGGACATGGAAATCGGGCCCAGGCACATGGAAATGAGCAGTGTGCAGATCACACCACCCCAAGCCATGGCACAAAGTTCCTCCACCCCAAAAACCACACAAAGATCACCAAAAACTCCACATTGCTGCCAAACAGTACCAAGTCACATCACCAAGATCTTTTCTCTTCCCCACCTGCTTTAACAAGCAACTATATTACTCCTTTATTCCCTACATTAAAGTTTTTCCATTACTGCCCTTTTATTCCCTATATTAAAGTTTTTCCATCTCTCCACTGGGTGCTGTTGCAAATTAACTCATCAGTTCAGCTCAATTAAAGAACTGGCAAATTAATCTAAACCAGGAAATATTTTCATTCTTTAAAAAAAAAAAAAAAAAAGAACTTTCTGGTGCACTGCAAAACTACTTGTCCTAGATTTTTGTGAACACCTGCATACAAAAATACTCCTCTCAGTGTGATTAAAAATACCAAAACTCTGACCTGAAGCCCGGAGTCCTTGCTCCTGGAGCCTGCAGCAAGTCTTCATGAGGATGTTGTTGCACCTGAGCCTCTCAGTATTCCTTGCTCCAGGGCTGTGATTCCATAGCAGAGAAGCCTTAAGTAGCTTTTGATCATCATCATTCCAGAAATAGAGAAGGAAAAAAAAAATCCATTTACCTCTATTGGCAGCAGCCAGAAAGCCAACTCTGATCACAGCCAGAGCCATGACAGGCTGAGTTTTCTTTCAGGGGAGGGAGAGAGGGAGGGAAAAGCAGCTGATGAGACTTTTCAAGCAGCTCCAGTCACCTGCAGACAACTCACCCTGGGTCAGCTGGGGCCCATCAGGCCCTGCAGTGAAAGGCTGCAAGAGCATGTCCAAAATTCTGATCATTCAATGTTCACCTGAATTTGGACGATTTAATATTCACCTAAATTCTGATCCTTTGATATTCACCTCACTGGGAAATGCTGGCTAAAATTTGTGGTATTTAAACAATGTTTGACCCTCCCTTTGCTCCATCTGATCTCTACCAGCTGGGAAGAGGGAATCTGCCTCCTCAAGCTGGGGTTGTCCTTTGTATATGGAATGATTTAGGATGGAAAAGGCTTTTAAATCATTTGAGTGCAACTGAACCCCTCAGACCCTGCAGGGAGCCTGGTAATTCATAATAAACATCCCGTGGTTTAATGCTTACCAGAGAATAAAGTGGTGTCCTAATGATCCTACCTTGGAGAGTCCAGAAATGGGGAATATTCCCATGGAACAGCTGAATACACTGATGGGTTTTAGCAGCACATTCAAGTCCTGGGGCTGCAGGCAGGACAACTTGTTCCAGCTCATGTCTGGGAAAACAGGGGTTTTTCCTCCAGCTCTCTGGAGCCCTCACAAAACTCCCCCCTGCCTATCAGCACCTCCTGAATCTTCTTGAGAGGACAAAACTTGGGGGACAAAAAATAAGAGGAAGATTCAACCAGCATTTCATCAATCTTGACTAAAAGGTAAAATGCAACAGTGCAAAGAACTGAAGACGTACACCGAGGTTATCACATAAAATTAAAAGCTTTTTAGTGTTTAAAATAGCATTTACACATAAGCAGCTATATATTAACTATACAGACACTTGGGTTTTAATACAATATCTACAAAAAAGAATTCAATTATGCAATAGACATTTAACAGGAACAGTGCAGTCCATGCTAATAAGAGGTCACTCTTTGAGTAGAACCAATTCTAGGATAGGTGATAGTCTGGATTTTCATTATTTAAAATCATGTAACTTTGTTCCTCTACTGTACATAAAATTCTTTACATGTATTTCTAATCACTGATTAGAATTAATAATTTTAAGTCAATCTTATTACAATCCAGTTAAATGCAAAAAACAAAAACAATTACATCAACTCATGAGCTGTCAAGTCTCAGGAGGGGACTGCCCACTTGAAGAGAACAAAAATAATAGCAAAAGTCAATGTCTGTGCATCATTGCTTGCCATCCAATAAACCTTTGGATAAAGTGTCCAGGGGACTGTTACCTTGGAAAAGGGAGATTTATTAATAGGAGGTAAAAGACAATAGCAGTGCTTTTAAGACTTATTTGCCAAAAACTCCTCAGAGTTAATATACCAGGTGGATACACTCCCCCTACAGATCCTGCCTCCTTTGGGGAGGAGGTGTCATCCCAAACTGTTTCCTCATCATTTTCCACGATCCTCCAGACAAACCTGCTGTTAAATCTGTTGGCAGGGACGGGTGAGCCTTAAGCTCAGTCGAGGGTCTCACTTCCAGAATAAAAATGTCAGCCACTGAAGGCTCCTGATTTGAGGTTGTTTCAATGCCCTGCACAGCAAACCCCTCGCTGGAGCTGGAGCTCAGTCACTGACATTAAATCAGGGATAAATTTGAGGCCCTGGTGAGAGAAAACAGATGGATCTGCAGCACTCCAGCCTGCAAACTTCCTTCCACCTGGCACAGCAGGGAATGCTGTGCCCAACAGGAGACACTGGCACAGGCAGGTCCCGAGGCCCCCCTTGGTGGAAAGACACGTGAGCATGCACTGAAAGCCAAGGATGGGATCTGGGAAATCTCCTGTCTCTTGTGAAAATTGGGATCTAGCAAAGATTCAGGCCTGACCTTCCACTCACTCCACCCTCTCCACTGGACACCACGGGGGGGGATCAGGGGTTTGTTTTACACACAGTGGCCATCACGTATTGCACTGTCCACACAGGGGCATCTCCACCCTCCTGCTCTCCCTGCAAACAGCAGGTTCCTCAAGGACCAGCACCCAGCACACCCAGAGCAGTGGATGCCTGTTGTGGGTGAAGCTGCTTCAGCCTGAATTCCTCAGCAGACTAATGCTTTCCCACACCTGGGTTATGGATTTGCAGCCTCATTCCAGAGTGACCCACGAACACACAAGTTTATAACACAGTCATTTCAACATAGCAGCAAAGACCAGCAAGACACAGAACAGTTTCTGCCAACAGCATTAACAACAAGACCAAAAAAACAAACAAAAAAAATAAAAACAAACAAAAAACAACCCAGCAGGTGTGTAAACTGCAACTCTTGGAAAGACATAAGGAAATAAAACACGTTTCTTCCACGGGTGAAAGCTCAGCCCCCAGCTTTAATCCCTTTTGGAAATATTAAAATGAGAGTCTTTTCCCCCAGCCCTCCAAGTTCTGCCTTAAGACAGAGCGGGCCAGAAAAATCAATATATATAAGAGACCAGAAAAGTTTTAAATTAATTTAAAAGTAGAACCACTAGTGATTGTCAGTAAAGTCACAGACTCCTTAACAGTGTCTCCTGGAGACATAGCAGAATTACACCATTATTTTACCCTGATTTACTTCATTGCTTTCAATGTCAATCTTTCAGAATAGGTTACCAGGTTAGGGTAAGCATCTTTGCTGTGGAACTGGGAGGAGGAAAGGAAAAGAAAGGTACTGTTTGCACAGTCAAGCTCTAGGTAGTGCCACTCTTTTGGAGAAGCCATCAGCCACGTGGCAATCCATGCCAGCCCATGGGATGGATGATGATGAAAGCACTGCTTTCAGAGACATTAGGCAGCTTTTTGGGAGGCTTTTGTAAAGAAAACTAGTTTAGAAGGCCAGTAAGGGGAGTACCTAGTCTGAGTGACACAGAGTTTCCCAAATGCCTGGTTCCCTTTTGAAGGAGAGACTCAAGTCTCCAGCTAACACAGACGTTTGGAGCTTTGGCTGGAATCGTTACTCTGGCTCTGACAAAGGGATGTGTTTGCACACAGACCTGGAACAGGGAAAGAAGCGAAAAATCTATCAGGATGAACAACACCCAAAATGTCTGAAGAGTCGTTTTTCAGGGTGACAAATGGACATGGAACTGTGTTGTGTATCCTGAGAAAGATGTTCTCTCTTGGCCTTCATCTCGGGCGTTCACGCTACCCACAGAGCACGGGACGAACCAAAAAGCAGCTTCTTACCAGTGAAAAAAAATGCTTATATACAGTCAAGACTGATCTTAAAGCACCTGTCCTAAAACCTGCCAGCAGCAGGCACCTCAGAAAGGAGGATTTAACTGAGGCATGGCCCCATGGCCAAATGCCACTAAGTGGCTGCAGCTCCCCACGTGTGTCCCATCAAATGAGGCACCGTGACAGAGCGTGGGTGTGCTCTCACCATACCCTCCTTCTGACACCTTAAAAAAAAGCTTCTTACACACCACTGAAGGCTCCTGAACTTGCTTTATCAAGTGTCCACAGCCTCAGAGCAGGAACCACACAGAAATGAAACCTTGGGGATGTACAACAGCAGTTGCTTCAGTCAGGGCTCCTCAGCAGAGAGGGTCCCACTCGGTGTCAGGTGTAAGGATTTGTTCACTGTACCATTTGGGATCTGCTCTCAAAACACCCTCACACCTCTCTGCCAACAGCCAGCCCCTGTCTGTGCTCAGAAACATTCCCCTGGGACTGCAAGTGGGATTAGACAGCTCCAGGTTTCCATTACAACAAAAAGAGAAAGATACTGCTCCAAAACGAAGGACAGAACAACAGGTATCAAAATGAAATCAAAGTGAAGAGCCACATCCCAGCAGGAGCCAGGATTTAGCTGGAATGGGATGAATATCCCCTTGGAAAGGGAAAAGCTGCAGCTACACTAACAGAACTGCATGGCAGCAGCTGTCCTGTTTCTGTGGAAATAACTTTTCCAAGCAAGTGCACATCCAGCAGGAACAGCCACATCTGTCAGCAGGGGTGGGACTGGAATGCCCAAGAACCAACTGCAGCTACAAAGTCACTATTGTGGTACTGAAGGAAACAACTTGACAAGTTCTGCACAATGAGCACATACAGTAGCAAGACTCCAGCACTCCCTTGATAGAATAATATCTAAAAAAAACCCCCAAAAAAAAAAAAAAAAAAAAAAAAAAAAAAAAAACAAAAAGGAAAAAAAAAGAAAGAAAGGTTGATTTATACTCCCTAGTCAGCAGAA